ATATATATATTGCTTGATCCTGAGTGGTTAATGTTGCTTGATCCTGAGTGGTCAATATTTTGGCAATTGACCACTCAGGATCAAGCACCATGACAGCGAGGGAGAATTTCAGGGTACATTAGCCTCCTGACTAGCATCATATCTTGCCAGTTCATGCACAGAACTCCACAAAGAGAGAGCAGTGTGCAGAACATGCAGCATCTCTTTCCAGGTCCAGGTGGAATTGTCCCTCCAACACAGAGGCTGAGCTCTAGTGACCACTGTGCTCCTGGTGAAAGGAAAGGTGAACTAAGGTAACTCACTCTGCCTTTCTTGATGCAAATCGCCAGGGGAGAGAGTTCCCAACTGCTCTCTTCCCTGCCCTTGTTCCTCTGGGTGGCATCTGGCTGTTTCCTACTGGAAATAGGAGCAGTGAGGCAAACCCTGGGCTCCTGGCTCTAGCATTTGGCCAGCCACAAAGCTCTCAATATGGGGAACTCATCTGGGCCCATCTATCTCCTACATCTCTGATGGCCCATACAAGGGGAAAGATGTGCAGTTAATCTTCCATTCATTTAACAATTTACTAAGCATTTCCCATATGTCATAATGACCCCGTGAAAGGCACTGGGGCTGCAACAGCGAACTAGGTATCTGCCCTCACAGTGCTTTCATGCATTCATCATAAACCACAAACATTTACTGGGCATATACAGATTAAGTTAATCCCAAAGAGGAAATAAGCATTTGTGTTTAAAATATGTGTTGTGTTTTATGGTGATTCTTTTTGTTTGCGCTTTTGGTTTCGTGCATTTTTCTTTCTCATTTTCGAATTTATCTTCTTAAGTGGAAGCTGAGTCTGAGAATTTAAAAATTTTCACAGCTAATCTTTATGAGTGTAATCATGAGAGTGGCAGAGGCAGGGATCCTAAGTAGGTTCTCCATATGGGAAAACACCCAACTCAGAACTCTCTGTCTCAGAGGTATTTTAAAAAGGGAGGATTCCCAGCCTGTGGTTCTGAATGTCATGTGTCATCCTATCGCCACCCTAAGAATTCTCAGAGGAGCTCAGCAGCCGTCCCTTCGTGGTGGGACACCAAAGATGTTTTCTCGCGTATTGGAAGGAAGGAGGCCTGGCATCAGTAAAGGAGGGGAAGATGTGATTGTGTCTAGGGAATAGATAAGCTTGGCTGCAGCAGAGGATTCACCTAAGGGAATGGTGGCCTATCAGGCTGATGAGGGAGGCTTGGGAGAAATCACAGAAAGCCCTGAAAGTCAGGATGAGGTAGCGGGTTCCGATTGGTCAACATGGAGCCACCAGATGTTTCGGGACTGTTATGAGTTAGAGCCTAGAAAGGGAGGTTGAGACCATCACCAATGAAGACTTCTGAGAGAAGCCGCAAGGCGTGGCATAACTCAAAGGACTGCAGAAATGCTACAGAACACGAGAGTCCCAGCGGCATTCCCTTCCCACTCGAGACATCCCGGAAAGTTCTGGAGCTCTGCCAAGGGAAAGGCAGTCTCCAGGTGCTCACAGGTGAGTAGAAGGCAGACAGGAGACAGGCACCCCTGTCCTCGCTGCCTCCACCCAACCCTCTTGTGGCTTGAGCCTCAAGGCTCAGTCCCCACAATTTATTATTGCTCTCCACGTAGGAAGTATCAGCTCACACCGGGTCTAGGAAGGAAGGAAGGAAG